TTTTACATGCGCCGCATGTAAAAGAAATTATATGTAGGGTGCTCAGATAAGCCATGTAAGTGTAAATTTACGATGTTATACTTTTTTGCATGCATCTTTTTACACTTTTTAAGTCGAAATTTAAATTAACTATGTTATCGAGTTGGATTTCAAACTTTTATGTGCAAAACTGAATATTACGAATAGCGGGCAATATATATAAAATATTCCATATGCCTTGAATAATTATTTAGCGAGTTATCCATACTATTTCTGTAAATTTGAGATACCTTGTGTAGATCAGAAATTCTATCTTGTACTTTTTGTTATCGCACAAGTTCAACTTTCAAAAGTTAAATATCAAATGATAACGTACACTGAAGAGAACATTTAGATAGGAGACGAGTAAGTAAATTCTGAATAATTTAAACAAATATATTACTATTGGCAAAGATATTCTTGATAGGATAGCACATCAACACGTAGTCTTGAAAATTTCATGTCATGATTGCGATGTGTCCTATACAGACCAGAAAGAAAATTAAAAACGAGGATATCTGAACATATTAATGATATTAATAAAAGAACGGCTTTTCCTCTGTAATTTCAAACCATCGGATTACAAAATCATAATTTTAACTGGAATGAGGTTAAAATTCTTGACAACGAACCGTTGTGTAACATAAAAAATTGATCTCGGAGATCTTTATTAAGAGACAAAAAATGCATTGAATAAGCAGAGCGATATGGAATCGCTGCCTGAAGCCTATAATTCAATCCTACAACTACTTTTCATCTCCTAATACTCTCTCTCATTCCACTTCCTTCACTTGTTTTCTACCAAATGTTCTCTTCGGTGTATGTTACCAATAACTTTTGAAAGTTGAACTTGTGCGATAACAAAAAGTACAAGATAGAATTTCTGATTTATACAAGGCATTTCAAATTTATAAAAATTGTATGGATAATTGTATGGATATTATATATAAATAATTATTCAAGATATGGAATACTTTATATATTTTGCCCGCTATTCATAATATTCAATTTTGCACATAAAAATTTGAAATCCAACATATTAGAACACAGTTAGTTTAAGTTTAACATTTTAAATTGTATAATTATTTCTTAATTTTATACTAGCGTTCAGTTTAAATCACACTTCAAATAAACAGCCACATCGACTTAAAAGGTATAAAAAGATGGTGGTAACTGATTTTTAATTGTTGATTCATTGCGATTGTTATCTAAAAAACAACATTTGAATACTGCATGGGCTATCAAGGGATACATTATGGTGACTGGATTACAATCGACGATGCGAGAGGTAGATTATGTAGGTGTTAGATTAAGATATTATATCAATTGTAATTTAAAATTAAAGAATTTAAAATGTAGCTTTTAGAAATGTTCTTTTTAGCATTATATTTTAAGTATTAACATTAAAAATGAACCTAAATGTATTGGTCGAAACATGTGATATTTGCGTATAAAAACTAAAAATATTAGATCAACTTGCTGTTTGCGCTCTTGACGCTTTTAGAAATATTTTAAATTGACGACTATTCAGATTAGGAAATCTGTCACAGCCACAAAATACTTGCGACGCACGCGCTGAGGTGACACATTTTCATATGCTCTGTGGCCACGAATGCTAGATATTATTCACTGCTTTACAAATTCATTGCTTTAAAAACAATTTATCTGTTCTAAAATACGAGTTTACTGTTTTAAAAACACAAATTCACTGCTTTTTAATAGTAAATTTACTAATTTAAAAACAAAAATAATATAAGAAGATAATTCCTATTTTTGAACAGATAATTTATTTTTAACGCACTGAATTTGTATTTTTAAAGTAGTGAATATATATTTTAGAACAGATAATTTGTTTTTAGAACATGTTACAATTTTATCTAACTCTGTTTCATTTTGCCCCAAATCGGAGCAAGTACTTCAGATTTTGATATTTTATTCATAAACAGCCTAAAATTACATCTTTTTAATAATATTTAATATAAATATCAATGAATATAAATAGTATCAAAAAATAGAGCTAAATATTTGCATCATAATGCATTAAAAGAAACTAAACATACTTATGTATATTTCTTTATTTATGCTAATGTTTTTCTAAAAATTGTTACAACCGTCCCCAGTCTCTACTATGTTAAACATCATTTCATGAGGAATCGTCGGTAGGTACCGATTTTGTCGTCCTCTTTAACTTTGCGCACGTTCCTCCTGTAACAATAAGAACGGGTTCGCGAGCGATCTCAGAATTCTCGCGTCCCGGGTCGCGCCGGTGGCTTCTCTCGTGACTCTGCACGCTCGCAACACGATGTTGTATTATTCAAATGGACTTGAAAGAAAGAAATAAAGAATAAGCTTCCTTCTTGTAAAAGCGTTCCGATACTATCTCGGCTACTACTATCGCGCGTGTATATCTAATATGTCAGTGAGGTTCCATCTGTTCCTCTTCTTTTTAGTCTTATCTGTTGCTCGATACCTTCATAAAACGAATGATATCGTATACAGGAAAGAGAAAAAAAAGAAGAGGAGAACAGAAAGGATAGTTTTTTAACATGAGGCAATTTTAGGTAACACTTTTCGAGTAAAGTATTTCTGTTATTGGTATGAAATCTGTGAGTAAAAGCTACTAGAAGTGAGGATTTTATGATACTTGTTGATAGTAAATATCTTGTCCGAAAGAGAGAAAAGGTTTTCATTTAATAAATTAATTCGAATTAATATTGAAGAAGCTGTCTCATATCAGAATAACATTATATCTACTATAATATTTTCTCTTCTTACAGTCTGCTTAAAATTAATTATAACTTGCAAACTGTTGAGTATTGACGAGATTAAAAATTTTACTGTATAAAATATTGATATTATAGGAGAGATTATTCGATGTGAATTTTTGTTATTGAAATGAGATCAGTGATCCTAGGACGTATTCAGAGAATATTATCAATCGGAATCATGGTAGGGAACAATATCGGGATGAACGAGCCACGCAAATATCATAGTGATGTGCAAATCGTAGCGACGCGCAAATCGCAGTGAGGCGCGGTCAGGCGCGATATTATTATCGTAGCAATTTCTGCCATGTCATTCGGCCCAGTAGGCTTTTACTAGCCATCTTATTACTTGCACAGCGGAGCGAAATTATAGATCCTCCAAAGTGCAAGAGGGCGATTATACCATTATATGTGCGCGCGTTCTCTTCTTGGGTGTAGGTATGCAATACATACATGGATAACGGTAACGCCGATCGTCTTGTCAGCTGACCTTAGGGATATACGTGCGATATGTCCGTGGCCGTTTTGCTGCCATCCGTGCTCCACCACGCCCAGTCAGAGGAAAGGAGCACGCCAGCATCATGTTCCGTGTCAAGATAACATCGATGTAGATGTATCTCAAATAGTTGCGGATGCACACTTTTTCCGGCTCAATATATAGTATATGGATCTATTATTTTGGATCTATTAAAAATAAGATGACTAGAATTTAGCTGAAACGTATGTTGCATGAAATATATTCGTAATACGTTAAATGTAATTACTAGACGTTGGAAGGTCTGTTAATTATTTAAACGCAACACTTACAGTGCCGTTTCCTAATTGCTCACTTTAACTTTTTATTAAATTACTATTAAAAATAAGACTAATCGGATAAGTATAAAAATATTTAATTATTGGACATTTAATTACTGAATATCCCTGTAAAAGAGTTAATAACAAATGATACATCTCTTAAATTGATTTGACTTTTTCGCAAGAACACTGAATCTAAACATTTGTATGAAATTAAGCATATCTTGATTAATCGCAAGCAAAACTGAATCTGCGCGTAAACCTTTAGAGCTGTCGACAATCACACTTGATATTTTTTATGCGCTTAAGTAAATAAATTTAGCGTATAATTTTGCATCGCGAGATAACATTTTCTCCGTAATTAAATCGTTTCTTTTATGCAGAGTAAGTCAACATAAGTGCCGACGATCTTCGCAGAAGACGAAAACTTGTGATAGTTTTATCGGTAACGCGTTGCGTACAATGCATATTGTACGGCCGTTGGTTCGTGGACCACGCTCGTGTACCACACCTTCGTCAAGGAAAGGCGCACCGCATGATTCTACGGTTCTATACCGGTATTGAGATAGTATCGGCCAGCATAGATTGCGCTTAGGCCGCCTAGGAGTCCGGCTTTAATAGCCTGCAGCCACGGTAATCGGCCAGAAATCACTCGTACCTCAACTCGCATATATATATATATATATATGTGTGTGTGTGTGTGTGTGTGTGTGTGTGTGTGTGTGTGTG